CCCGCTAGCAACGCTAGAAAAAAACACTCAAATGACCCCAACCGGAGTAATACAAGCAACTAACACACAATACAAGCAACTAACACACAATACAAGCAACTAAAACAACTCAAAAGACCCCAACTGGAGTAATACCCGAGTGTCGGATCCCAACAGGATAATAAACTTGACACCCGGGTACACAGAGGCGAAACGACCCAAACCAAAAAACAAACCTAAACACAAAAACAAGCACAAATACAGAACGCAAACAACAGAAAACAACAACTAAAAAAACAAAATCTAACAGCCCTCCCTAAACGAACGAGCAGACCCCACCAGCAGTGAACGGACGACACAAGAAGAAGCCCCAGCCCGAGAAACCACTACCGAAACTGCGCAACCGCCTATACAGTAGCTGAAAACGAGCCACGAACCCTTCCCCGAATCGACCCACCCCCAACCGAGAGAAAACGACCAACCCCAGCAGCCCCTCCCGAACCCGTCTAACACCACTAGCCGAGCCCACGAGAAACCACACCCCCGGACCCCGCCGCCTAACACCACTAGCCGAAGGGGGGCGGGGGAGATGGCACGGATCCTCAACCCGAACGCCGTAGCATCCGGGTCCACGCCCCATCCTCAGACCACACAACACCAAAACCTCCACAACCCCGGCAACCAACAGCCCAACTCCACCAAAGCCTCCGCCGGAAACAGAAGCTTACGAAGATGAAGACAATCGAAACCAGAAACAGGGAAAAGGAGGGCTTACCATCCACCATCGAAGGTCCGCCAACGACCAGGAAGCAGGGCCACCCAAAATCGACCGGAACCCGACCAAGAAGACGGCACCTCCACCCGCTACTTCGCCGACGATTGGGAGCCATTTCGCACCAAGTTGCGGCAAATTCCAGGCGCCAAAGGTCCAGGATAGGAGGAGCAGTTAGGGGCGACCCCTGTCGAGCCCCACCGGCGTCGAGGGAGGCAAATCAGCGATTTTGAACGCAGCGGCTAGGTTAGAGATTTTTCCCCTTTTTCTACGCAGCGTCGAGGGAGTTATCTAATGTCCATATGGGGAAGAAAACAATATAAAATATAAAATATAATATAGTATAATCAAAATTGAAACAAATAAATTAATTCAAAATCAAATTACTGAGTTGTAAATATAATATACATATATATATATATATATGTGTGTGTGTGTGTGTGTGTGTTGGGGGG